GAACTTTTTTTTTGTTTTGTTTTTTTGGGGTTTTTTTTTGGATGAACATTCTTTTAATACATTTAAATTTTTTTACCTTTATTTTTTGAGAGAAAGAGTGAATGTGAACAGGGAGTTGGAGCAGAGGGAGAGAGAGAATCTTAAACAGGCTCCATGCCCAGTACAGAGCCCAATGTGGGGCTCAACCGACTAAGCCACCCAGGTGCCCCAAGTATGAATAATCTTGTACATGTACTCGTTTTGAGTACCTGTTTTCAATTCCTTGTTGTATATATCTGGAGTACTGACTAAAGCTTTAGCAGGACCCCTTTAGCTGTTGTGGGGCAAAAAGAACATGGAGGAGAGGATGTGGTGAGAGAGAAGCCAATTCAGTTAAGGGACTAGTGCCATGATATGGGAAACAAGGATGGCAACAGTGGGAGAGTGAAGGGTGATCAGATCGTGGACCCCAGATGAAGATTATGGGGGCCCCCTTTGTTTCAGCTCTGAGCAACTACAGGGAGAGAGAGTTACCACTGAGATAGGAAGTGGCTGGAGGGGTAGGTAGCATTGAGCCAATAAAGTCTAGGCTGTCTAGGGACTTCTGGGTGGGACTGGAGGGGCAGTTGGCCTGGGGAATCAGGAGCTGAACATAATGTGACTGTGGTATAAGGGCTGGCAAAAGTGGAGGGGAGGGAAGAGCATGTCCCCAAGGCAGGGATAGACCAAAGGTGCAAGGGATGAAGAGCAGTCTTGTGGGTGGGATGGAATTCCCTGGGAATGTGTGTCCACTCTTCCAGTGCCTCTCTCTTTGGGCTGGGGTCCCTCTCATCTCTGGGCACTATGGAATCCTGCCTGTTCTGCCGCCTCCCCTGAATCTGCTCAAAGCAAGGATGGAGAGGAGATGACCTAGGTCTGGCTGGACAGATGTGTCCCAGTCCCAGGGACCTGTGACTTTTGAGGACATGGCCTTCACCAAGGAGTGGGGGGACCTGGGGGTTGCGCAGAGGACCCTGTACTGGGAGGTGAAGCTGGAGAGGCTTTAGAACTCTGCGCTGCTGGGTGAGGCCAAGCCCTGTCCCTCCCTTCCATTCATGCATGAGATTCAACAGTGTTGCATGTAGCAATCACTTGTTTTTGGTCATTGCTGTCTGCATAGTATTTCACTGCATGGATATCCAGTGTAATTATCCACACTGCTATTGGTGGGTATATCAGTGAGTGTCCATTCAGGAGGCAGAGGAAATTTTCAAACAGTAATTTGAACAGGGTAAATTTCATATAAAAAGTTATTAATTAGGGGCATCTGGGTGGCTCAGTCAGTTAAGCATCTGACTCTTGATTTCGGCTCAGGTCATGATCTCCTCGTTTGTGGGTTCAAGCCCCATGTTGGGCTATGCGCTGGCAACGCAGAGCCTACTTGGGATTCTCTCTCCCTCTGTCTCTGCCCCTTTCCCCACCAAAATAAATCAGTAAACTTAAAAAAAGTTATTAACTCTAACAGGGATAACTCTAAAAATTCTAGGGTTGAGAGAGAGAGAGAGAGTGCCAAAGGTAAGAATAAACTTTCAAGGTGGGAGCTCTGTCCTCAAGGTTGGGGGTTGGGGTTCAGACTTTGTTGGGGAAGGTGTGTTTGGAGCGCACTGGGTGGCAGAGAAATTCTCCGGGTTGCCCAAGCCAAGCAGGAATCACCACCTTGGTGTGGCGGTAGGCCAAGGCTACAAGCAGGCATGCAGAGGGAATTAAGATGCCACTACAGGTATGAGGCCTACAGCATGATGTTATCTGTTGGGAGAGGCATTGGGAATGTCCTGCTAGCAGGGCACCTTGGGGTGCATGGTATCCACATCAGGAGGGCCGTGGTGAGGTGGTTACTAGGTCAGGACAAGGCTTGGAGCTTGCCCAAAGAATGCCTACTTTGGGCAGTCTTCCACACGTACCGTGGCTGTTGTGCAGTTGCAGGAAGAGAAACAGACACTCTTGTGGTTCTCCTCCAGTGCCCTCTGCTGACAAAGCTTAACAATGTGCTTTCTGCAAAGGAGAAATGCCTACAGGGTTCAGCCCACTACTGCAGAGCAGGTAAGAACATGGAGCTGAGAGGCAATAAATTGATAACTGCAGTGGGCTTGGGGCTGTTTTCTGATCTTTTACTTTTATAAATAGTTGCTCTAAATGTTTTTGTACACGTGTTTTGGTGCTCATAAGCATTCATTTGTTGGGTGCATACCCAGGAGTGGAATTGCTGAGTCAGAGTACACATGTATTTAGTTGTAGTAAATACGGCCAAAGTTTTCCAAAATCATTATGTGCTTCATTTCTTAGTCTTAAAAATTTTATTGAAAAACACTATCACCATTTCACTCCATGCTCCATTCATCACTGGATACAGGCCCGTTTTCTACCTTTGGCTATGAACAGTACTAAACCCATTAATTATACATTATTGTATTAGTTTTCTATGCTGTTTAACAAATTGCCACAAACTTGGTGGCTTAAAACAACATCCATTCATTAGCTCACAGTTCTATAAGTCAGAAGTCTGGGAGATAGTGGCTGCGTTCTCTGCTCAGAGTATCACAAAGCTGAAATCAAGATGTTGCCTGGGCTAGGCTTTTACCTGGAGGACCTGGGAATTATCTGCTTCCAAACTCATTCAGGTTGTTGGCAGACTGCAGTTCCTTGTGGTTGTAGGACTGAGGTCTCTGTTTCTTTGCTGGCTGTTTAGCCAGGGGTTGTTCTTACCTTCTAGAGGCCACAATGTTGTTCCCCTATCTTCAAAGCCAGCAATGCATATCAAATTCTTCTCATGCTTCAACTCTTTTGGACTCTTTTCTGCCACCAGCCAGAGAAAACTCCATGCTTTAAAAGGGTTCATGTGATTAGGCCACACCTACTGGAATCATTTCCGTATTTTAAGGTCAACTTAACCCAATGACAAGAGTGATAGCTCATCATATTTACAGGTTCCAGTTCTGAGCTTCCTCACCAATATTTGTTATTGTCAGGGTTCTTATTTGCTATTTTGAAGACTGAGAAACCCATCATATTATTTAAGATTTGTATCTTAATTATTCACAGTGGCCATGCTGCGAATACCAAGCATAATGCCAGGAGCAGGTAATTAAACACAGCAGGCCAGGCCCTGCCTTTTCAGCACTGGTATTTCTCTGATTACTTCTGAGCATGTATGTCTTTTCTGGTTTGTTGGTCCAATCAAGTTTTTTCTGATGTGAATTACTGATTCACAGCTTTTATCCACATTTCTAATAGGTTTTTAGTCATTTTCTTATTGATTTAGAATTAAAAAATATTTTTTGTTGGAGAACTTCTTGGTGTTGTGGGGGGAGGAGAGGACTTGGAATTGGGGCAAGGAATCCAGTGTTGTTTCAAGGGAAAAACAAAATGAAACAAAAATCCCATGTTCCTAAAACTCAACAATCCCACTTTGAGAGATTTACTCTAAGGAAATAACCAGAATTGGGGCGCCTGGCTGTCTCAGTTGCTAGAGTGCACAACTCTTAATCTCAGGGTCATTAGTTCAAGCTCCACATTGGGCACACTTAAAAAAAAAACCAAAAAACAAAGAGAAAACAACAACAACAACAACAAAGAAACAAAAGAAAATAACCAGAGTTGCATCCAAAGTGTATGCTCAGGAGTGTGCATCACAGTATTGGACACCATGAGGCAGAAAATGAAATATCTGGGCTTGGTAGAAATGATAGTGCTGGACAGATGGGGAATTTTCACCCACGCATTAAAAAACATGTTTTTAATAACAGGGAAATGAGGGAGTTAGAAAAGCATGACACACACAGTATCTCCACAAGAAGCTTTATCAAACACCCTTGGAGTGCCCAGGTGACTCAGTCCCTTGAGCATCAGACTCTTGATTTTGACTCAGGTCATGATTTCACAGTTCCTGAGTTCGAGCTCCAAATCAGGCTCTGTGTGGACAGTGCAGAGCCTGCTTGGGATCTGCTCTCTCCCTCTCTCTGCTCCTCCCCTGCTCACTTGCTCTCTCTCAATATAAATAAACATTAACAAAAACACTCCTGCAAACACCTGGAATAAGCACTGCTATCAGACAGTGGAATTAGGGGTCATTTTCATCATCTTTGCCCTCTTATAGATTTCAAATTTTTCTAAGTGAACACCAACTACTTTAAAATCACATGGCCTATGGGACATCTGTTAGTGGACCCTTTTCTCAGAGACCACCCTCCTTGTCCATCCATACTTGCAAAGGAGGTCCCCTTAGTGTCCACTCAAGCTGGGACTCAAGGGCTCAAAGGACAAGGACAAGGAGGCCAGGGAGTGATGTGGGTGGCTCAGGAACAAGGTGGGGCAGGATACCAGGACTGCTGGCCCTTCTGGTGAGTACGGCCTGCTCTGTGGCTCCAGCTGCCAGGCAGGAGAAGTGCCATTGCTGATATTATGGCCAGCAAGAAAGCAGAGATCAGGATTCTTATGCAGAAACTTCCCATTATAAAAATGCAATTTGTTACAAACCTAAAATGTAGAGGGCCATGAGTTTTCCATCTGTCTGCAAACAAAGCAAGGCATGCTTTCCTGAGCTTTCTGGACTGTCTACGCCAAGACATCAGGCCCAGCAGCTTCAGAAGGGGTAGAAAGGGCAGTTTTTGATCAGCCACCTGGGGCCAACAAGGTCCCAGGGGTAAGGAGAGTCCTTAACCTGTCCACCTGCATCAGGTCACAGCTGGGGACCTCGGAGCTTGGAAGTCACTCAGCTTAGGCAGTTTATTGCAGCCCAGGCCTCGCTAGGCTATTGAGGGAGCAGTGGCTTCTTTTACTTACACCCAGGTGGCTGTTTTGGGGAGACTGAACTGGGGTCAGGGGACTCTCCTGGGAACTCTGATTCACGAATGTCCTCTGTTGCCTCCACATGTCTCACACAGAGACCAAGCAGCCCAAGGAAGGCTGGAACCAGATTGCCAGGAACTGTGTCCAGGACCTGGAGACTGCAAGGCTCCCAAGACGAGGCTGCCTTCTGGAGCCACTCATGGGGCCTCCGGCCGGTGGCTCTTCCTGTGGATGACCAGCTGGGACTTCCAGTCGAAGCTGCGGCCACAGTCGCCACAGAAGTGGCGCCGCTGGCCTGCGTGGCTCTTGCGGTGGATGACCAATTGAGACTTCCAGCTGAAGCTGCGCCCACATTCCTCACACGCATAGCTCCGGGGGCCTGGGAGTGCACGCCGGGGGTGGCGTGGTGTGCCCGGCTCCCGGGAACCTGGTGGCAGCTTCTGAGCACCCCCAACAGCCAGCACCGGGGCCCGCGTGGCCTGCCCATCCGCATGCGTCCGGTGGTGGATGACAAACACCGATTTCCAATCAAAGCCTCGGCCGCACAGCTCACAGGTGTAAGGCTTCCTCCGCGGGGTGCCGGCCTCCAGCCCTGCTCCCGGTGTAGCCCTGGTGGAGACGGAGGCCCCAGATGGGCCCTCCCAGGTGACAGGCCTGGGGCCCTGGGGTGGCTGGGCCTCTGGGCAGCGGGGTGGACCCTCACAGTGACTCTCACTCTCATCTCCTGGGGAAGGAGAGTTGGCAGTCCCAGGTAGCCCAGCATCCTTGACATTCCCACCCCCTCCCACCAGGTGTGTGGGGGCAGACAAGCTCCCACTCCACCAGGCAACAGGCGGTTCAGATCGCATGGAGAAGCACTCACCCGGGTGGAGGCTTCTTTGACCCTCTGTCCCCAAGCGCAGTACCCCTGGCTCCGACTCAACCCGTGCCTCTGGCAAGGGGGCCGGTAACCCTGCTGGGGTGAGGGACAGTCAGGTAGCAGTCCTGGCATGGGGGCCGGTGAGGGGTTCTCATACATTAGGGGCAGGGGTGGGGATCCTGGCAAATGACAGGGTGCCCCTAGGTAAGGAGGGCAAACATGAGTAAAAGCTGGGAAGCGTGCACAGGAAAGGGTCGGGCAGGGAGCCCTATAGCCAAGGTGGTACACAGGCACCAAAGGAGGGGCTGTGGCTGGTCCTCACCCAGGGAGACCACCGTGCCATACTTCTCCAGCATCGCGTCCCAGTACAGTTCCTTCTGTGACCGGTCCAGTAGCCCCCACTCCTCCTGCCAGGATGCAGCCCATCACCCTTGGTGCCTGTCCACCCCCCATCCTCTTCCCTGCTCTGCAGTGCCCTACCCTACCCATGTTCCCTGGCCACAACCTTACTAGTTACCTGGGGAAGCGGCCAGGTTACCTAAGGCTCTTTTGCTTCTTAAGGATGAAGCTGAGAAAGGCGTATGAAGGTTGGGAAATAAGGCAGAGAGAGTTGTCCTTCAGCTCACTGGGGGGTGGGGTGGGGATGCTACTAGCACCTGTCCCCCTCAGAAGCCCCACGCCATATTCTAGTCAGACACTTTGAAGCTGAGGACCCCTGGATGGGTTTTGGAGGAAGCCTAGGTGGGGACAGATGTGGCTGGCCTCACCCTCTTGCCTTGAACAGTGTGTGATGCACTGAGACCAAAAGGCCTGGGGACCCAAGAGGACCCAGCCACATCTCACCAAGCCTCTGGTTACAAAAGTAACAGAGATCCTCCCTGGGGGAGCTGCTGAGGGCTGTCAGCATTCCTAGATGTGTCGACCTGGCTGTGGAGAGGTCGAGGGCAGGAGGACTCACATTAGGAGGTGCAGCCAAGCATCTCAGGCTCAGATGACGTATGTGGGACAGGTGGTGGGCTGGCTCCTGCCTGTTGCCAGAGGGTGAACTCTGGTAGTTGAAGCTGGACCCTTGTGGGCTTTACCAGGTGATGCACTCTCTGTTCCCAGGTCTGCTCTCCTTGCCTCCCCAAATCCCATCATCTGGGGCTTTGCTGGGGTGGGAAACAAGCCTGACAGATAAGCCACTGCAGCTCCAGGGACAAGAAGGTGGCAGCCACTGCTGGAATGCTACCGGAAGTCAAGAGGCTTTGGAGGGAGTGGCCTTCCCACCCAGTTGTTTCCCACTGTCCATCAGGCTGTGGAGGGCCTGGAGGGACTTTTTAGCCTTGAAGCACATCTCAACTAGCTCTTCCCTTGGGGACGGTCCCCAATGGAATGGCTTAGAAGCAAAGTTGCTAGGAGAGGACAGGACCCCTGCTGTCCACACTCAGGAACCAAGCATTCCAGGTAGCAGGGGCCTCAGTGGAGTTTCTGTGCCCAGCTGGCCACAGCCCAGGGCTGGTTGGCCTTTTAGAAAAGCCCCAGGAAAGAAGTGGCTGCAGGTTATTTCCTAGGTATCTCCATTCTGATCTCAGGTGTGCAGGGGAGGCCAGACTGCTGTGTGAAGCTCAGGCTTTCCTGCCAGGGTTCGTCATCTTGACCCCTCACCACCTGCATATGAGGGTTCAAATCTCCAGGGGCCAGCTTAAGACTGCTGGAAACATCAAAATCACCATTTCCCTGTAAGTGAGGAAGCCAACCCCTACGAATTTCAGTCACTCTAAACCAGATTCCATGGCCCGAGGTTCAAATCCTTTCCAATTTTAGAGACCACCAGCCTGTCCCTGTCTCCCAGGACCCACAGGAGGGACCCTGACAGCAACTCCACTTCTGGGCAGCAAAGAGCACAAAAGCTGCTGGCCAAGAAGCCTGAAAAACTGACAGAATAGAGTGTCCACCAAGGACATGCTCCTCCCACTGGGGGCCTGTACCTCCCACCTGGGGCTGCTCACCTGAATCCTGGGTGGGTGGAAGGAGGTGGCGGCTGGTTCCCGGTGTCCTGGGTACCCCTCGCGGGACTGGGATGGATGTGGGGGGCTGGAAGGTGCTAGGAAATGAGGCAGGCGAGGATCAGGTGGGCCAGGGCAGGTGAGCTGGTGTTGGTGCTGCAGCTTTGGCCTTCCTCTGCCAGCAGGCAGGAGGCTACTCTGTGTGTCAGTGCCAGCCAGTCCTTTCCTCCTGCTTCCTGGGAACCCATCTCTGAAGTCTGCAGTCCCTCCTGAGTCCCATCGAGGACATTCACATTCCCCCTAGGAAACCCCCAGCCCCAGCACAACCCCTCCTAGAATCCCCTACCCTAGCTAGCGATGTCCACATATCGTCCAGGAATCCCCTGGACCTAATGTGGCTCCCACTCTCACCCATCTCCTGCCCATCAGCATCAGGCTCCTCCTTCACACTGCAGCTGAGCTGGGGAGACCCCTCCATCTGGGTGTCCTGTGGCTCCTCCCCAGAGGTTGCCCTGAGAAGTTCCACTGTCCCTGAAGGCTGGGGTCTCCCCAAGGACTCCTCTATCTTCTGTGCCGCTGGGAGCACCACTTGCTTCAAGACATGGGCTGTGATCTGAGGGGGAGAGGCAAGTCACAGAGGCTCTAGTCTTGCTCTGTCCCTCCAAGAAGTCAATGCTGGCCACACTCACCCAGCCCAGCAGCTGCCCAGGGTTATGCTGTAGGCCCTCGACCAGGGCTACAGCCTCCTCAGGGCTGCCTGGCCGCTGGCCCCGCACCCAGGCCTGGATCTCAGGGGGCAGCGTGCCCAGGAACTGCTCCAGCACCAGCAGCTCCAGCATCTGCTCCTTGGAGCATGCCTCCGGCCGCAGCCACTGGCGGCACAGTTCTCGCAGCCGCGCCAGGGCCTCACGGGGACCTGCCACCTCCTGGTAGCAGAATCCCCGGAAACGCAGGCGTGCTGCCTCGGGCTCCTCCAGAGTGGCCACAGGGTCCACAGAGGGCAGGCGTGGGGGGCCCAGTGGGGATGGCATTGTTGTACTGGGTGTCTTCTTGTAGCCAACAAAAGAGACCTGCAGGAAAGGAGGGGTCAGGGTGGGGGCCAAGAGGCCATGGCTAGGGTAAGGCAGACAGGCCCAGCCCAGGGGGCTGGTTCAGAGAGGACTCTTGCCACAGGGAAGCATGAGGCTAGGAAAACTTCATGGAGGGAAGAGTCACGGGAGCTGGCTGCTGAAAGGAACTGAATGCAGAAGAAAGCCTTGTGGATGAATGCTTGGAGGCAAGTTGTCCAATGGCATTTCCAGGAAACTGCAGGAGATGATGGTTAAGAGGTAGATAAATGAATGATCATCACAGGCTTCCAGGGTCTGACTCAGGAGCAAGGGAAAGTGAGCAGCACAGGAGGAAGGGGAGTGGTCAGTCAGGCAGGAGGCCAAGGGACAAGCAGCCAGGGAGGGTCCTGGTAGTGCCTTAATCCCTGGTGAGCAGGAGAAATGAAGGTGGGAAGAGCCATGCTAGGTTATGGTGGAATGTATGTCCCCACGATCTCCAGGACATCAGGACATGTTGACTTAAGTGGCACGTCTGCGCCATGGATCGAGGCGGGGGGTGGACTCTGAGACACCGTGCTCGCTAACCACAGAGAAATGTGAATGACTCACGCCGCCTGCACTAAAGCAAAACAAAACAAAACCACGAGTTGCAGTTGCGTGGAGTCGTGAGCGGACACCGTGTCCCGGCCCTCAAGAGGTTCTAAATGAAACACGCCCACCTGGGCGGCCTGTCAGACCAGCTAACACCAAGGCCTGACCCCCCGGAATCTATCTTCCAAAAAGGATAGGAGAGAAGACGTTCTGCCCAAGGACGGGGAACCTGTTGTGGGCGGAAAGGCCTAGGCCTAGGCTCGGAGGTGGGGCGCGACGGGCAGGTCGGGAGGTAGGCGGGCACTCTGGAGTGCAGACAGCATCTAGCGGCCGGGTCCCCAGGGGGTGGAAAAAGCCGCGCCCAATCCGGCCAGGCCCGCGCTCACCTCAACCGTTGTGTCCTGGCCGGGAGGCCACTTCCGGTAAGAGCCCCCGCCACTCCCGCCCCGCCGCGCGTTGCCATGGCGACTCCGCCCTGGCCAATCACATGCCTGCTCGGCAAGTACAGCCCCCCCCCGCCCCCTTCGGACTACGTTTCCCGTGAGACCCAGCAAGCAAGGACGGGCGCGGCCTCCGCCAGCGGATGCTCATTTCCAAAGGCCTCTCAGAACTGAGAGCTGTTCCTCTTAGAGGAATCTGAAGAATCGCAGAGTTTGGGGGCTCCCTCCCGTCACTAGCTACCACTCTTCCTTTACATCCGAGCCCTAGACTCACCAACAGCCGTGATGGAGGGTACGTTAGGATCCTGCGCATGTGCACAGCGGACCCGGCTCCTATTGGCAAGTGAGGTGGGGGGGAGGAGCGTGACCTTATGGCCATTCAGAGCTAGCACCCCACCTCCGCCCCTCCCCAGCCCCCTCTTGTGGCTTAGTTCTTGTCGCGGAGCAATCCTCTTGGTAACCGCTAGAGGACACCAGCCCGCCTCCATCTGTTTCCAAGGCAACAGCCAGAGCGTCACCCTGTCCTCCTGGGAGGCCGGAAGTGATGGCCTGGGTAGTATGGTTTGGCAGAGACTCGCCTCCCGGCGGTCCCTGAAGGAAGCCGACTCCGACCCATTAAGACAGCCTGATCTGTCGACCTCTGCCAACTCTCGAGCATGACTCCAGTGAGTCCCCTGATGGGGTCCTCCATTCGACCTCTGCTGGGGACATGCGGGAACAAGGAACGGGGAACACTCATTTACACATCAAGAAGCTGTCCCATGATTTATATACCCTCAGAGTCTCAGACGTGTCTTCAGATGCCAGTACTGCAAAGTGAGGGATGATTTCTATCCAGTTCTGGGACGCTAACTTTTTACTTTGGGTACCAAAGCTAGTAAGAATGATCTTTAGTTTAAATCTCAGTAGGCAAAGTTAGTTTGTTAAAATCACTGTGGAAAGGGGTGTTTTGCTTCCAGGAATCAAGTAGTTGAACAGTGACTTATTCAATCCTAATTTGCATATGCGTGTTTTGATTTCTTGTGATACCTAGTAATCCCTGGCTACAAGCACTCAATAAACAGCACTGGTCTTACACACCAATTGGAAGCTCTGACCATGTGCATGGCTGGGACTTGTCAACTCTTCTAAGTAATGTCATCAGACTGGGCTGTCTTGTGGGGACTTAGATCGTTTCTCTGTGTGGATTCCCCAGAAACGACTCTTCCACCAACCACTCTACGGGGAAGAACTGGTGTTCTAACAGCTTCAGTAGTTCTCTTTCTAGTCCTGTTTTAGGACTCCTCTCCCAGGGGGCTGCTGGTTTTCAAGCCTTCTGGAGTTCTGCAGTATAGGCCTTAGGGGACCTCTGTCCATTTCCCCCAGTACCAAATCAGTATTTAGCTTTCTCTAAACCAGAGATAGATCCCACATCCACTTCTGGTTTCAGAATGCCATTGCTGTTGACCTCTTCCACCATCCTTATACTTGTGGGTTTATGTTTTTAAACACTCTCATCTCGGTACCTTCAGTGGGTTTCTGAACCAAGTGAAATGTATGTGTTCAATTCATCATCTTGACCCAGAGAGCTCAAGGACACTTTTACACTCAGCCTGTTCAGGATAAAGAGCAGAAGGATTAGCCTGACAGGCCAAGGTCCAACATGACCACAGATGTTTGGGGGAGATAAATGTAAAGGCCAAGACAAGGGGGAAAGCAGGTAATCATGGTTGCTGCTCCTTAAGGACCTGGGTGGAGGGCACTGACCAGACCTCAGTACTAGGAGGGGTGGATTTGAGGAGGGTGGAGGAAGTGAGGGATACCAGGGGCCAAACACACAGGTGAAAAGAATGGTTAAGTGGGGAGGAGACCGGTGAGGAAATGGGATAGGGCATCAGGCCCAGCTCAAGGGGTCAGAACTCCAGGAGCTTCAGTCCAAGATGCAGAAAAGGTTGGATAACACTTGCTGAGTACCCACTAGATGTTTGACAGATGCCCTTGCTCCTGAATACCATGGGCTCCTGAGAAGAGCTATCAGAGTGGGGGTTGTCTGCATTGCACATCTGGGCAAACCGAGGCTGTGACCTAGGGACCCTCATGGAAGCCACTCTGGGGGAAAGTAAGATGGGGGTGACGCAAAAGTGTGTACCAAAGCAGAGGAGAAAGAATGAGTCCAGGAGGGGTGGACAGTGGCTCAGGGGCCTGTAGGATACCACGAGGCCTGGCACAGAGGACCTGGACCCAAGGATCTTTGGGAGTGGGTCCAGCAGGACTCCTCTCCTTGCAAGAAGTGAGATTCCAAAAGCAAATGACAGGTCTGGCCCTGATGGCAGGGTGTGAGAATGGGAGGGTGAAAGGTCTGTGTTCATTGTACATGGCAGATGGCTACCAATCTTGGAGGTGGAGGGACTAGAGACCACCAGGCTGGAGTCAATCTTTCTGGCCACCACTGGTGAACCCTGCCTCAGATTCCCCAACCAGATTCACAAAGACTCATATCAGATAGAATTCCTGCTTGGGGCAGCCCCATGCTATCTACCCTCCTGGCTGGTGCACACCCATTCTGCCTGCCAAGGGGCACAGGTATTCCAGCCCCTCAGTGGATCTCAGACAGGCTACATATGTAGCCTTTGGCCTCTCAAACATGTGGAACAAAGCCAACCCTACAGCTCAATGACAACACACAGAAGGCATGACTACAATGTCCTAGGATGAAACAGGCATCAGACTGTTACACCTCACGTTTGACAAATAAATTTTTATCAGGAAGCCTCTCTACACTGTGTTGTTAAAGCTGTCTGAACCATGACCTGGAGGCTGGGAGAAGAGACTGAGGTTGTGGATTTCCACAGTGCTGTGCAGGGATTTACACAATGTACATCCACTCCAACTTATAATTTTTGGTCTTTTCTTTTTTGTTCCCAAGAAAAGAGACCACTAACATCCCTAGGGGTGAGGCCTGAGGTCAAGACAGGGCCTGCTCTGCTGAGGGCCACAGGGAGAAACCTGGGCGTCAGTCCACCACGTGTCCCAGCCACGTGGAGGTGTCCCATGATGGGAGGGCATCACACACACGTGGCCTTAGGTAACAGCAAATCCTCTTTCCAACTGAGGGAAGAGAACAGGTGGGCACCTGCCCACTGACCCTGCAGAAACAATAGTCCCATCTGGTCTCCTCCAACCTGTTATCGTGGTCACCTCT